ACAGATTAAATGATTTGCAAAAAAAATCATTAATTGCAGCCATAGTTTCATGTGTCAACTTAATAATAAAACAGAACAGTGATTTGACAGACCGCTAGTGTGAATATAAAGGATCAATAACCAAGAAATCTGCAGCAGTGGCTCAAAGCGTTCAAATAAAAACCAAAAAACAGATCAGTGATAAGTCTGAAGTGATTCTTTGCCAGCATAGTTTTAAGATGGGAGAAAAGATGATGATCATAACTCATGAAACAGTGAGAGGTATCTCCCAAAACTTACCACAGAAAGTTGGCAGTGAACAATATGCAGTTCTGGTAAATCAGTTTGGAAACCCTCACAAGCAACACAAAGAAATCTGTGGAAAATAACAGGAATCATGAGAATTAGTTTGAACTTTTCTTCTTACATTTGGAAACAGAAGGCTTCTTTACAAACTACAGCAGTCTTTTTGATTCTGTGGATGGAGCGGTCACATGTGAGCCTCCGGATACCAACCCACTCCAATGTGGTCTTACCACGATCATATGAAAGCTAACTTTACACATAATCTGTTTTAAAGCAGCTGCCCAGATGTTCCGATGAAAAACATCCAACCGGATGTAGTTCATCATCTTCAGACCAACACAGTGACTTTTTTATTTGATTAGGTTCTTCTAAGTTGAAACCCATCATCTCAAAGGAAGCGTCTAGTCACAGGCGGTTCTGGTGACGCCACAGAGCCTGAGGTAAACGTACTGGATTTTCTTTCAACATTTTCCTCTTTATTTGCAACTTGTGCTTTGTCAAAGCTTTAGCAAAACATCTGAGCATGTGATAACACTCCAAGGCTTTCAGGACAATCTGGCAAAACTAAACACCAGTAAGGAGTTTGTGAGGAAGATTAGAAAGGCAAACTTTCATTAGAAACATCAGCTGATGACTGGGAACCAAACAGCTCTCTGTTCCATTAAGCTCTGACCAACAGACCTGCTGCATCACTCACTACTTCTACTGCAAAAAAGGACAGCGTATTACGCCTTTATACTGCACGTATCGTCACTTTACAGGGAAATCGTGTTAATATTTAAGTTGTTATGAGCAGAATGAAGCGTTTTATGTGTGCAAAAACCAATGAAATAGAAAACAGGTCACATTATAAAAACCTTCATAATGGTTAAAGTTTTGTAGAAAATATCTCTGTCACGTATGTTTGGGGCATCGTCCTGCTAAAACCACATCACATGTCAAAATCTTTCAGTTATTAAGTTTATTTATTTCACAGCTGATCAGACTTATTTGCTGCAGAGGTGTCAAGCAACAAAGTACAAATACTTCCTTACTTAAGTAGAAATGTTGGCTATCGATACTTTTAAGGAGTCATTATTTTTCAAACAACTTTATACTTCTACTGCTTACATTTTTTCTTCTTACATTTAAAGGAATAGTACACCCAAAACATGATTAGCCTTCATTTTCTACTCACCCCCATGCTGAACAAC